CAAAGTGGTAGATTGTGTTACTGGATACGCAAATCACCAAAAAGGTCCAATGAGAACTGCAGGTATTTACATAAACGTGAACATATTATACGCCTCAGCTAACTGCAATTTCAGAATTTGGAAAAAAGGAAAAAACTAAATTATGACATTTTGTGACGTACTCCTCAAAACATAGGGCTAATACGAACTTATCTCCACCACGAGTTGATTCCTTCATACTCCTTTCTAGGTAATCTTCCACTTCACGAGGGTTTCTTAAGCATTTGGTAATGGAGGTTTGCTCGGGGCATAACCACCCAATTGGAGCCTCGGAGTTGCATCCACTAACAAGGTGCTCCCATAGTGCCCTTCACGACAGTAATGTAGGGATTACTTATTAATTACATTGTTTATATTCGAAAATGCAAAGCTAGGGTGATTATGATTAGTGGTAGTGAATTACTTCATGAAAGCTTGAATTATGGAAATGTTAAGCATGGCACCCGATAGAAATTCCTTCACATCCTCTTTTGTAATTGGTGCGATCCCATCGTCATCATAGTGGAACATTGCCTTAGGTAAAGTCACTTCAATAGATCTACCCCTAGGCAACTCGCTCACATGGTTGTGAAGAAAAGTACATGCTTTGGACAGCGAGTTCAGTATGTCAGCTTCTACTAGTGGAGTACAACTCGCAGCCGAACCTCTCGAACTCTTCGTCAACCCTTGTCCTTGTTGGACATTCTTAGATTTTGGCTTCTCCACCTTCTTCATTTTGGATGACTGATTTTCATTTGTAACATAAAAGCACATGGTTAAATTACAAGCTGTTTGAGACATGTTTTAAAACCAATAATGTTGTGTACACTTACCCTACCTATCAACCTCACTCGATCACGTGGCCATTGCACAAAGCTACCTTTCACATCAAGTAGCGTGATGAAGTCATATTCCTCTCTAGGCACCGGTAGTGGCAAGTCCTCAAACCCAGGTACTATGGAATTGATGCCGACGGAGATGTAGTGGGTATTAGTAGTAGACTTGAAATGGACCTCGTCAAACTGTTGTGCGCTACCATACCCCACCAACTCACCATCCATGTTTTTCTCGGGGTGAAGGAGCTCACATGGCGTCTCTTCCTACACATTTTATTAGGACAAGTTATAACCTAATTAACCAGCGTCATGCTAATACAAGGACATATTAGTGAGACTTGGAAATTACCTGAACATGTGGAAAAGGATCAGGTTTTTGGTTTGCAATCCCTCTTGAGTCTGCATGCGTCGGACTAGGATTCTGCAAAAGTTCAAAACAATCATGCTAAGGCCTCGTTTGATGATATGGAGGCCATTGAACTCAATTGTAAAACAATTACCTCGCTGCCAACAAGTGGATCGTCCATGGCATCTTTGGGTTGACTACATGAGTCAACTGGGGTTACCAGGGGCATAGACAAGGTTGGCAAGTTCATATGCTTAAAAATAGCATTGAATTGACTTTGTAACTGTTCTTGCACCTCTTTGCGGATCTCCGCCTTTATTAATTCTTTTTCCTTGGCATCCATTCGGTAGGGCGAATTAACACTTGATCTAGATCTTCCTGATCTAGTGTAATCTGAACCCATAACCTTTTCCCACCCAAGTTGCTTGCCGCCCGCTCCAATTACTCGCCCAGGGTGGTATGGTTTTCCCAAAGCCAAGGTAAAAGGATCGTTCTCAATGCTTGGAGTGAGATTGCCTTCAACTACTTTTGACGTATGCTCGAGCTGCAACAACACAAAAATTTTGGTTCATTCTAAGTTAGATGTAGTCGTTATCGAAATATTAGATAATGATAACAGTGAAATATTATCATAAATGTCATAGATTAGGGTGCTTACAAGTGCATCTGCTACTATTTTGGTATCCGGGTGCATGACGTACTTCCCGGTGTTCTTGTCGATCCCATGCATAGCACACCACCAGTAATTGGCACGACTCACCAAAGATGTCACCGTGGAGGGAATCGATGTATCAGGTGAAGATATTTTGGATGTGGGGTACAAACCCTCTTTGATCCACTTTTCTCGACTTTCCGCAAATGTCTTACAACCCATATGATGGTTATACATTTTCTTCTCAGCATTGCGCGTATCTTGTTGACTTCTTTCCTACACATTAGCAATTGTTCGCATCATTATATGAAGTGAGCAATTTTTTCAAAGTAACTGTAATTTATATAAGATTACATACAAGTGCAGTAGTAGTTGTTGATTTCGCCACGAACTTCTCCCAGTCCTCCTTCGTTATTTGTGGATATACATCCCACGGTTTCTTCTCAACTTCATCCTCTCCTGCATTACCCATCAAAGTTTTCTTGGGTTTATGCCTTTGTTTCTTATGGATCCATCTTGTTCTTAACAAACTTTTGAAGTTTTAGAATCTCTCTTGTACAAAACCTTCAAACGATCTCCTCTTGTCTGGGTCATTGGGAATATTGAACACACTCTGTAAGAATCGCAAACTTCCATGTCAGTAAAGTGAAAAAAAATTGAGGAAAAAATGGAGAAAGGAATTAGCCAAAAAAAAAAAAACACATTGCCAGCCAGGCACCTGCACAGCCAGGCAGGCACCTACCCAGCCAGGCAGGCACCTGCCCAGCCAGGCAGGCAGCCCAGCCAGGCCGGCAGCCCAGCCATGCCTGTCATGCTGCACCAACAACGAGGCAGGCTCGAAGTTTGGTTTTTACGCACGATTTTTTGTTTTTTGAACTCGAAGTTTGGTTTTAAGGCACGAAATTTTGTTTTTAGGCTCGAAGTTTGGTTTTTACGCACAAATGCATTGATTTTGACTCAAAGTTTCATGAACAAAACTGAAATAATAAACACTTACCATTGTATCATCCCAAAGCATTTTAAGCAACCCTTTTGGAATCTCTGCCCAGTCAAGTGTGATCGGTATTTTACGAGTTAGGATGCCAATGTGTGTGGAATATTTGTTGCGCCATTGCCCAGTAGGTTGACCCAACTCGTCAAACTCTAGAACCATCTGTTCCCCAGGCTTCTTAAATGCTTTTGTTGGACCCCTAACCTTTCTCTTTCCCGATGCCTTTCCACCACTGCTGGTTTTCAGTTGACGTTGCATGTCCATTTGGCCGTTTGAATCTTGTACAAACTCGGAGACAATATCATCCACAATAGGGGGGCAGATTCAGCTGACATCTCATAAGCGTCAAACCTGCGCTGCAACTCATCATGAGCTTGGTCTTCTGGTTCGCCCAAATCTTGCTCCTTATTCACATCATACAACTCGTCACCAGATTGAGAACTACCATGGTCTTCATCATCCATATCCTCTACGTGGTGAATGTGTTCATCACGACCCATTTTATGTACACACCTACCACCACAAGCAACGCAAATAATTAGTACACAAAACATGTTTACAAGCTGAAAATGCTAATACAAGAACGAATTGAACAAAATATGTACAGAATGGCAAAACTGAGCTTCTACCATTCCCAACTTCGTTATTTTCATACCTATCACACAACTATCCTTGTAACAACTCACATTAGGTATAATAATAAGTGTTTAAAATATGAAAATGCGATAAATGAAATGATTCCATGCTAATACAACAATGAAGTGAACAAAATATGTACAAAATGGCAAAAAAGGGCTTCTACCTTTCCCAACTTCGTTAATTTCATTCCTAGTTCACATCTAATCCTTCTAACAACTCACATTAGGTATACAAAACATGTTTACTAGTTGAAAATGCGATAAAGGTAATGATTTCATGCTAATACAAGAACGTAGGTAGAAAAATATGTACAAAATGGCAAAAAAGAAGATTGTCATTATGATGCAAAAACAAATGTACCTCATTCGAGTATTCCCTCATTGTGGTTTGCTCGAATATAATTTGCATCCTTGTCTACATCATTTGATACGTCAACTCTAGGGGCAGTGAAAGGGGGCGAATCATCAAACGCATCATATTCGTCCTCGTCTTCGACATCTCCAACCCCTAAGATTCTTCTCTTGCTAGCAAGGACGATGGATCATTTAGGATCGGCTGGGTCGGTGACATAGAACACTTGCTTAGCTTGAGATGCAAGGATGAATGGTTCCAAACTATCCCGTAGGTGGCCAAGGTCTACAAGAGTGAAGTCATCGTGTCTGATGTTGCGCCTAATATTATCGACCCATTTACATTTAAATAGACCTACCTTGAACTCGCGATAATCTAGTTCCCATATTTCCTGAATTCGTCCGTAGTAGGATAATTGTGCGTCAACCGGTGATGTATCCTTTGCACTGGAAAACTCTGTTGATGAAGCCACAAGCGTGACACCACTATTTTGAGTCGATGAGGATTTCTGATCACGATGCTCAGTCCAGAATGTATACCCATTAATGTCATATCCCTCAAAAGAATAAACATCTTCCTTTGGACCATAAGCTAGCCACTTTATAGTATCAGAGACAATCTCATCCAATTGACGCATGACTCGATCATGGAACCATGTCACAAACATCTTATTATGCAACTGCATTAGTGCCCTTTCCCCTTTTGATGGAAATTCCGCACGCAAACTATCCATGTGCTCTTCTAAATATGGGTGAACCTCCGCAACATGATGAAGCACAAATAAGTGAGCTTGCAAGAACTGATCATGAGTAGGTGAGATCCGTTTTCGACCCGAGTGTGCCATGACCATCAAGTCTCCCTTCATGTCGGGAAGTGGGAAGCCCAATTGGTTCGGCAACGGCAACATACTCCGCCACGAAATTACCAATCTCCTCCACCACAATCCCTTGAATCATACTACCTTCTGGATGGGCTGGATTCCTGACTTTATGTTGTAATGTGCCCATGTGTCTTTCAAAAGGATAGCACCACCTCATAAAGACTGGACCGCACATCTTGATCTCACGAACCAAATGAAGGACCAAATGTACCATGATGTCAAAAAATGATGGTGGAAAATACATCTCATATTTGCACAATGTTACAACTACATTCGCCTGGAGAGCATCAAGTGTAAAAGGATCGAGCACTTTGCTGCATATAGTGTTGAAAAATGAACAAAGGCTCGTAATAGCTTCTCTCACGTGCTTTGGTAAAATACCACGAATGGCAATCGGTAGGAATACTTGCATCATCATGTGACAATCATGCGATTTCATACTAGTCAACTTCAATTCCCCATTCAAGGAAACGAATCTTTTCATGTTTGACGAGAAACCATAGGGAACCTTAATGTCATACAAACAAGCACATAACTTTCGTTTTTTGTCCTTTGACAATGTGTAGCAAGCTGAAGGTAAATACACCTTTTCATCTTTCTTCTTTGATACACCGATGCCCTTTCCTTTACGCTCCCCCTTACGTTTATTGCCACCATCTTCCCTTACCTTTTCCATTACCATTGTCTTCCCTTCCTTTGGTTGCACCCACAATTCCGGACGAACACCCCACGCTTCCAAATCTAATCGGGCGCTCTTCCCATTCTTTGTCTTGCCATGAATACCCATTATTGTCCCAACAACTACATCACAAACATTCTTCTCTATATGCATCACATCGAGGCAATGTCTAATATCATGTTCTTTCCAGTACTCAAGCTTCCAAAAGATCGATTCCTTTTTAAATAAGGCATGTGGGTCTAAAGGTTTCGAAGTTTTACCAAAAAAAGTTGGTATACCCTTCACTCGACCATACACCTCATGTCCACTCAATGGCCTAGGCGCAACCCCTTCTTCAACTTTCCCATTGAAGGCCTTTTTCTGCCTACGATATGGGTGATCGCGCCGAAGCAATCGTCGGGTCCTCACGTACACATCTTTGCCGTAGTGTTCAAGGTACACGTTTGGTGTGTCATCGATACAAACAGGACATGATTTATGCCCTTTGTTCTTATACCCGGACAGGTTGCCATATGCGGGAAAATCATTAATGGTCCACATCAGGGATGCACGCATTAGGAACATCTCGTTCTTATGGGCATCATAAACAGAAACTCCTTCGTCCCACATCTTTCTCAAATCATCAACAAGGGGCTCAAGGAAAACATCAATGTCGTGTTCAGGTTGCCTTGGACCAGTTATTAAAAGAGACAGCATTACGTATTTTCGTTTCATACACAACCACGGAGGCAAGTTGTAGATCACTAAAAGTACCGTCCATGTGCTATGTTGGGTACTCAGAGTGCCAAATGGATTCATACCATCGGTGCACAACCCAAGCCTCAAATTTCTGACTTCATCACCAAATGCCGTGAACTTCATATCGATGTTCTTCTAAGCTGGAGAGTCAGCCGGATGCTTCAGCAAACCGTTTTTCTTTCTTCCCTCTGCATGTCATCTCATGTTCTTAGCATCTTTTGGTATTGAAAATAGACGCTTGAACCTTGGAATGATGGGAAGATACCATAACACTTTGGCAGGAGGTCCCTTCATACCAGCATTGCAGCTCTTTCGCTTGTAACGCGACTGACCACAACGTGGACATTCCTCCAACTCTTCATATTCATTTCGATAAAGAACACAGTCATTAGGACATGCATGTATCTTCTTATACTCCAAACCAAATGGACACATGAGTTTCTTTGCATAATAGTACGACTTAGGAAGTTCATTCTCATCAGGCAACATGTCACATAACACAAACAACAAAGAAGTAAAACTAGTGTCACTCCAGTTATACTTTGACTTAATGTTAAAAAGTGTTAGCACGGCTGATAGTTTGGTGTATTTTTTCGACCCGGGATACAAAGGCTTTTTGGCAGCCTCTGATAACCACTCAAATACATCACATCGGTCACCAAATTCACCTTCAACATTATGCATCATCTCATCCAAGTGATCACCACCATTGTCCTTGATCTCATCCCCATCCTCATCTCCATCTCCATCTCCACCACCATCACTACCATAATCATCTTCCGCACGAATCTCGGCTTTGTTATCGTGAGTATCATTCCCAACAACATTCTCCCTATACGATCCATGTTCACCGTGCCAAACCCACACATGATATTGAGGCCTAAACCCATGACATACCACATGATCCCTTATTGTATCAACACTGTCGACCATTGTCACATTATTACAGTTGACACAAGGACAATAAAGGTCATTCACACCCGTTTTGATCTGATATTGTGAAGCACTCTCACAAAACTCTTGGACCCCATTAAAGAAATCCAACGTATCACGTCTACCATATATCCAACCGCGATCCATCAACGTTTTAAATTTCCTTTACGCAAACCAACACATTTTAAATAATGTAAAATTGCAACATATAATCAAAGCACATTGTTTGTATTTATATCGTTCATGCATATAGTGTAAAAATGAATGCTCCCAAAAAGGTCCTTATCACTCCAACCTAACCCATCCTTGAACGTCTAATCTCACTAGTGAATGTATGTCAACTTTCCAATTTTAAGGAAAATCCGGCAGCATTTCGCCCCAATTCTCCAAGTACACAATATAGGTAAATAATTACCTACATATGCACCCGGAGAACATGGAGACGAAAAGCTAAGCCGAGAAATTCCTTAAAATCGAAAAAGAGACATACATTCACTACCTAAGTGAGATTAAACGTCCAAGAACAGTCCCAACCGGGGACTATTCAAGTCTTCCTCCTAATGAGAAAGACTTGAACGGGTATCTAGGCAAATGATGATGCAAGCATTAAAAAATTTCCATTTGTTTGACATTTAACAAAACACAAGTTCATTCATTCATACAATGCTATTTGGACTACCTACAAGCAAACTAATCTTACTTTCAATCCATTCATTAATTCATTACTTTTTAGCTATTCAAATTAAAACAACTTATAACATTATACAATTAAGGTAAGAATTAACTTTTTGTATACAAATAATTCATATATTAATAAACATAAAATTTGATTAACTAAAATTAAAACCCTAAAATTTGGGAAATTATTAACAACATATAAGTAATGAATTTAAATTAAGCATGAACTCACCCAAAAATATGGAATGTGGGATAAGAGGGAGAGATGTGGTGGGCTTAGGCGCACTTGGCAGAGGAGCTTAGGCAGCTTATGGTTAGGTTGCAGCTAGCAATGGAGCTTAGGCAGCTTATGGTTAGGTTGCAGCTAGCAATGGAGCTTAGGCAGCTTATGGTTAGGTTGCAGCTAGCAATGGAGCTTAGGCAGCTTATGGTTAGGTTGCAGCTAGCAATGGAGCTTAGGCAGCTTATGGTTAGGTTGCAGCTAGCAATGGAGCTTAGGCAGCAGGGGCAGCAGCACGGGCGGAGGGCGATTGTGGTGGAGGCGCCGACAATAGAACGACGGCAGCTTATGGTGGTTGTGGTGGTCGGAGCAAGAGCAGCTAGCCGTATTCGAACCCAACACCGTGAAGCAGAACGGTGGTTCAAACCCTTCAATGGAACGAAGACAAAGGTTATAGTTGTGGTGGGTAACACATGCACGACAATGGTGGTTGCTTGTGGGCTGTGATGGTGTGTGAAAGTGAAAGAGGAACGTTGAAGGAGGTGAGACAGTGAAAGAAGGAGCGCACAATTCAAGCTAGAAGGAGGGAATGAATACGAGGGAAAGAAGAAGCCTTTAACCCGGTTTTTTTTTTAAAAAAAAGGAAGCGGTTTGAACCGCTTCTAATTACTTATTGGAAGCGGTTCAACTCAACCGCTTCCAATTCTCTCCTTTTTTTTTTTTTTTTTTTTTTTTTTTTTTTTTTTACGCGGGTTATTTTGTACAAAATTGGAAGCGGATTCCAATAACCGCTTCCAATTACTGGCTTCCCATTACTTTTTTTCTACTAGTGTCCCTAGCACCGAGGCTACTGTTGGGCAGAATAGATCACAGATGGACCGTGGGCCTGTTTAATCAGCCACGACCCACTTGCTGTCTACCCACACAGCATGCCAAAGTGCTTCTTCCTCTCCCCCAAGCCCACACATTCAAGTTCAACATCCTACTCCTCCACCATCTATTGTCACTCGTAGCAGAAATGGAATCATAAAGCCTAACCCGAAATATAAAAATTTCAATGTCATGGTGTCTAATGTTACGAAGTCCCCTATACCTCGTAACCCAATTTCTGCTCTTCGTGACCTGAGTTGGAAAATGGCTATGGATGATGAATTTAATGCTCTTATTAAAAATAAGACGTGGGAGTTGGTGCCCCGTCCGCCTGATGTTAATGTCATACGTTCTATGTGGATTTTACTAGAGGCATAAAGCCCGTCTTGTAGGTGATGGAAAAACACAACAGGTTGGCATTGATTGTGGGGAGACTTTTAGTCCGGTGGTGAAACCGACTACCATTCGAACTGTTCTTAGCTTGGCTTTGTCTAAAGCTTGGCCAATTCATCAACTTGATGTTAAGACCGCTTTTCTACATGGTGAGCTTAATGAAACAGTATACATGCATCAACCACTTGGGTTCCGTGATCGAACACATCCTGATTATGTGTGTTTGTTACGAAAATATTATATGGTCTTAAGCAGGCACCCCAGGCATGGTATAAGAGATTTGCTGATTTTGTTTCTTCTATTGGTTTCACTAATAGCAGGAGTGACAATTCTCTATATATTTATCGTATGGGGTCAAATGTGGCTTATTTGTTCTTATATGTCGATGACATAATTCTTACTGCTTTTACTGATGCTCTGCAGTGTTCTATTAAGTCTCTTCTTGGCTCTGAGTTTTCTATGAAGGACTTGGGTCCTCTTAATTATTTCCTTGGCATCGTTGTGACAAGACATAAGGGTGGATTATTTTTGTCACAACGGAAGTATGCGGAGGAGATCATCGATAGGGCTGGGATGAGCTCATGCATACCTTAGGCCACTCCGGTTGAGGCTAAGCCGAAGTTCAGTTCTTTGGGTTCCCCTTATTATGATTCGACCTTGTACCGTAGTATTTCTTGGGCACTACGGTACCTCACTTTTACGAGGCCAGATATTTCCTATGCCGTGCAACAGGTATGCTTACACATGCATGATCCGAAAGATAGTCATATGTCCGCTCTTAAGCGAATAATTCGGTACATACAAGTTACTCTTGAGCATGGTTTGCATCTTTATCCATCATCTATTTCTACACTTATATCCTATACTGATGCTGATTGGGGTGGGTGTCCCGATATGAGGCGATCTACTTCCGGATATTGTGTATTTTTGGGTGATAATTTGATCTCTTGGTCATCCAAACGCCAGGCTACTCTTTCCAAGTCTAGTGCTAAGGCAGAGTACAGGGGTGTTGCCAATGTAGTTTCCGAGTCATGTTGGATTCGAAATCTATTATTAAAGTTACATTGTCCGATTAAAAAGGCGAATTTGGTGTATTGCGACAATGTGAGTGCTATTTACCTTTCTGGTAATCCGGTACAACATCAACGTACCAAGCATATCGAGATGGACATACTTTTTGTCTGTGAGAAGGTGGCTAGGGGTGAAATTCGAGTCCTCCATGTTCCCCATAGGCACCAAACATCTTCACGAAAGGACTACCACGAGTGCTCTTCAAGGATTTTAGAGATAGTCTGAGCGTCCGTCCGCCTCCCGCTTTGACTAAGGGGGTGTGTTGAGATATATATGTATATATTGTGATTAGTCAAAGTGTATAATTTAGTTACCTATTTTGTAGCCTAGTTTAAGAGATTTGATATCTCTTGTAAATTGTATATAATGCTATTGAAGCAATGAATATACTCACGGAATATAATTCCTTCAGTAACAACTAATACGTGTATCACACATGCTTGATAAGTCTATGACGAGGAGTCATACAAATTACTTGAACATCTATGATCTATCATCAAGTTTTTAAAGATACTACAATGAGTAAATAGGTGGAAAATTTCTTGTATCACACATGCTTGATAAGGACCAACAAAAAGGCGTTGGGCACATTCAAGATGAGAGCTATAGACAGGACCTTATACAATTTCTTAAAATTGGATTTGTGTTTCATAATTTAATATACTCAGTAACATTTGAACTTAAAATCAACATGTACTCATACTGTATTGATCAATTTCGACTTTCGAGCCCATCACTTCTTATCACCAAGCGAATGTATAGCAATTATTGAAAACAATAGAAATTCACCTTGCACACCTTCAACATCACCCCTCTTAGACAATTTTAGTCTCGTAGACAAATCTCATTACTATATTTTTTTTTCTTGTTAATATACTAATTCGCTTAAAAATCAATGAATTTATTTTATATATAGACCTTTTTTTTTTTTTTTACAAATTAAGTACCAAAAATCCATAATTTATGTAATTTCTCATCTCCTTAAAAAAAAATTACTTTCCTCTAGATGAAATTATAATATTGATTCCCCTCAAACAAAAAAAAAAAAAAAAAAAATATTGATTGATCATAGGTGAAAAATAAATTGTCGTGTAGGCATCTCCTGAATTTCCAGCAGTCTGTCATCTACCTATCATCATCACACTCTTCTTTGATCTCTCTTTCTCTCTCCTCCCTTCTTCCTTCTACAACGACATCCATCATCTTAGAGAGAGAAACTCACACTTAGAGAGAGAAAGCTCGAGTTTATCAACAATGGCGACGAGATACTGGATGGTGTCTCTTCCCGTACAACCATCTGCCTCTACTTTATGGTCTCAATTGCAGGATTCCATCTCCAAACAATCCTTTGACACTCCTCTTTATCGAGTACATAAATCTCCTTTTCGCTTGAGTTTTTATGAGTTTTGTTTGTTTAATTTTGACGAGATTTGTGATTTTTAATTTGATATTTGTTGTCGATTTTGCAGTTTAATGTGCCTAATCTTCGTGTTGGTACCCTAGATTCGCTGTTATCACTTGCTGATGATCTTCTGAAGGTATGATTGTTCGATTGCAATTGAATTTAGCGACAATGTGTAATTGAATTGAATTGAATTTGATTGATTGATTGGTGATTTTTGAAGGCGAATGCATTTGTGGAAGGTGTGACGCATAAGATCAGGCGTCAGATCGAAGAATTGGAGAGATCTTCGGGTGTTGAAGGTGGTGGTTTGACAGTTGATGGTGTTCCTATTGATTCTTATCTTACTAGGTGAGGTGTTTTGAAGGATCTATAATTTGACTGTTTTGCTGTGAATTTGGAGTTTTGTTTGTGATTTTGGTTGGTGTTTTGAATTTCTTGTGGTAGATTTGTCTGGGACGAAGCGAAGTATCCGACTATGTCGCCTTTGAAAGAGGTTGTTGATGGCATTCATAGGTTTGTGGCTAAGGTTGAAGATGACCTTAAGGTACAGGGTTTATCTTTATTTTGTTTTGCTTTATGTATGAGTATAACTAAGCTGTTGATGAAAAATTTAGGATTTTTATACTATGTTTTGTGATCAGTATCTTTGTGAATACGTATGAACATGATCACGTAAAGTTTAGGTCTAAAAACAATTTACTAGCTGTTAAAGTACTAGCGTTTGATTTGTAGCTATCCTTAAGGTGGTTTAATTGAATTTTAACTTAGGATATGCAATTTAACTGTTGATGAAGAATTTAGGGTTGCAGCGCTACGCTTTGTAATTAGAATTGTAATGCCATGCTTTGTAATCAGCATCTTTGTGAACAGATATAAACACGCTGAACATAAAGTTTAGGTCTGACAACAGGTTAATTGTGAAGTATTAAGAGTTGTTGCAATCCTGTAGGTGGACTTTTTGAAATATATAACAGTCTCTACAACTCTTTCTCTGCCCGAGAATTCTGCTGTTTCGTCCTCTTATATGATTTCAAGTACTTGTACGTATGCTTAAAGAGTCCAACTTTATTTCCTTTTGCCTATGTATGCTTCCGCAATAGGGTCTACTCATAACATATAATTTCTCCAAAACTGATGTTTCACTCTTTGAAGAATTAGTTTTTCTTAACATAATGCTTGGCTTAAGATACTTTAGTATCTTACAACAACTTAACCAATGAACTTGTTCAGGGTTATGCACTTATCAGGTTATTTGGCCTGTGAAAAAATGTTACTTGATTATTCTGCCTCCCATGGGAGTTGGTCTTCCCTCACGCCAAAGATTGGTTAGCTGTAAATATAAAAAGCTGTTTCCTCATGGCTGTATAATTAGTATCTAATTCGACAAAGAGGACAATTAGCCCTCCCTCGAGTATTTAGACTGATCTTTCAATTTGGAATGATTTAAGAAAAAGTTGTTTGAATTACTCTATGGTTCTATGATCATTTCTCCAGTTGAAATAAATATTGTATCAGATTCTGTTCATTGGACCATTCCAAAGAGAAGATGCAAGATTCGAACAAATTGAACCTGCATAGAAAATTTTCAATAGACTAAAATCTGTCAGCTTTTAATACTTGTTGCAAAATTGAATTGAATGGATTTCAGAATTCTTTTCATTCCTAAAGCAATTTTGGAATTGAAATTTTAACATTTTTGTAAAATTAGCTTAATATTTACCTTCTAGTTTGTGTAAAACCTTCTGCAACATATGTAGTTAATCAAATGAGATTAACCTGGTATTAGGTATTTGTGAATGGATATGTGAACTTAATATGGCTTTGTTGTTGTATACGTGAACCTGATAAAGTTAGACTGGGATTAACTCTTAATTTGCTGGTGATACTAGTGTCGATGGGGATATTACAACTTGACGAACTAAATCATTTGTTTTACACTTAAATAATAAACACTTTATGAATACAGTAAATCCTTATGGTTTTCATGGCTATTTAATGTAAGCCTTGGACACCTTGTAACATATTGAATGATACAATTTACTAGTTTTACTATGATTATTTTTATTATTATTGTTTTATATATATATATATATATATATATATATATATATATATATATATATATATATATATATATATATATATATATATATATATGAGTGATTAACTTGGAACATATCACTTTTGCTAGGTCCGTGTTGCTGAGTATAGCAATGTGCGCAGCCAACTTAATGCAATTCACCGGAAACAAAGTGGAAGGTAAAGGTCCAGTTAAGCTTACTATTGTCTGGCTTTAGTGACTTTCTTGCCATATTGTCCGCTGACAAGCTTCTTATCATATCAGCTTAGCGGTGAGAGATCTTTCCAGCTTAGTAAAGCCGGAGGATATTGTTATATCAGAGCATATGGTTACTCTTCTGGCAGTTGTTTCCAAGTTCTCACAAAAGGACTGGTTAGCAAGCTACGAGACATTGACAGAATATGTGGTAAGGAGCGCATTTATAATTTTTTGTCCTCTCGAGTATCAATAAGAGATTCGGTAAACTTTTCTATTGTGGCTCATGCCAAAAACAGTATCTTATCTGCAGATTGGTGCATTATCTATATTACGATCTTTCAGGTCCCCAGGTCATCCAAAAAGCTGTATGAGGACAATGAATATGCTCTGTACACTGTTACTTTGTTTAACCGTGTTGCTGATAACTTCAGAATAAAAGCTCGCGAAAGAGGTTTTCAGGTTCTTCGTTTTCCTCTACTTTTCCTTATCACCTGGTTTACTTGTTTGAACTTCATTGATATTTCCCATCAATCAGTCAAGGCTTGAGTTTTATTGTTTATTTCCCCCGAGCAGTCTGATTTTATAAACAGCCTTCCTTAAATATATTATAAATCTTGAAAGGTTTCCTCATTGCTTCTATACTTAAATGCAAACCAGATTCGAGATTTTGAACATGACCAAGAAACACAAGATTCACGGAAGCAAGAGTTGGAAAAGTTGACACGTGACCAGGAAACAATGAGAAGTGCACTTTTGCAATGGTGCTACTCCAGTTATGGGGAGGTAACTTTCTGAGTTCTGGATAATCTTTCCATAGGAGAATGCTTAATATTAAGTCTATAGCTTATGGAGTATAAAGAACTTGTTCTGATGTGCTATAGGAGGCTTGTGTCTTAGGTAGATTTTCTTCTGAAACTGTTCCATTTCAAGTGACAAAATTTTTGGACATTTCATGTTATATTTTCATATATTAATTTCTGTAATAGTCTGCCACATCTCCCTATAAATAATGGATGATAAAGGGACCCCCCCCCCCTCCTTTTTTCCCATAGCTCCGGGGTAGGGATAGAATTTGCAGAAACATCTCCCTATAAATAATGGATGATAATGGGACCGCCTCCCCCTCCTTTTTCCCTCATCCTATTTCTCCCATAGCTCTGGGGTAGGGGTAGAATTTCCAGAATTTACTCATCAATTAATGAATTCTGAATTAAATCTAAATTCTGGATTATCAGAACAGATCCTAATGAGACCAAAGTCAGTGAATTTTAGTGTATTTGTGTTTTCTTGAACCTTATATTATTGGAACTAAGTTGTTAGGAGGGAAAGAGAAGAGAACACTTTATGCTGTGTGGGTGTGGTTTTTTTTTTTTTTTTTTTTTTTTTTTTTTTTTTTTTTTTTTTTTTTGTGGGTGGGTGGGGGGTAGTATCATTCCATTATTGAGGCCTAGTGGAGGTTGTAATGCTATTTTCCTCAGTTGATGTATCAATCTAAGTAGTGGTTCTTTTGCCTTGTTAAGTGTAAGACGCTGTGAAGATTGT